TTTTCCTAATGCTCTAACTTCTAAAAAGGCTCAAAATCATGAGATAAGTATATATTTTTCGACGAACTCGATCGTAGCCTTGTGTCACGAACCTCCATAGACCCGAAATTCAAAATGCTCTGGATTCCAAACGAAGCACGTTATTGAGCTGTAAAATTGTAAACAGATATAAATGTACCGCCTCTTATGCCTGATGAGGATAAAAACTTTGGTGGCTCTTTAGTTTTGGATTTTAGAAAGTGATGACGTCACGTGAAAACGATCTATTCGTCACACTCCTGGCAAACTACGCTTGTCAGGAGCGTTGCGTGAAAACCCAAATAGCTGCAGCGAGGAGGAACAGCTACGAATGTAAATAATATGAATTGTTTTGTCACCAATGCTGCTACTAAATAGTAAGGCAAAAGCTTTACCGCTTTTACCGCAAAACTACACTCTTATTTTCTACTTACTTATTACTTCGTTATAAGAATTTTGTTTTTCCGACCCAGGCTGAATATTCTTATTTTTCGGCCGATATTAGGCTGAAAATATTCTTGAGAATATTCAAAGATTATAAGAATACAAAGTGGACTATGCCAATAAAATATCAGATCATCTACCCTATCACGACTTTGATGCCGCTGAAGTAACTTTGGAGCCAGACTGCTGGCAATACTGCCTGATGTGACACGCATGACTTTATTTTATTTTATTTTATTTAATTAAACAGAAGCGCTATTAGCATCGAAATACAGCTACTGCTGAGTTTGTTGTTTCTTGGCTAGTTTTGCCGTTTAGAGAAAGGACGAATTTTATACGGTTTAGTTAAAAACACATAATTGTACTGTATTTTCATATTTTCAACCCACAAAATTATATTCTTTTCAAAAGCCCAGCATCGGGTTTATTCTTAAAATTTCGCTAATTTCAGCCTCGATATTCTTATAAAATATATTCTAATCTTATAAAAACACAAAGATGTCATGCAGGGAAATACATTTCTGTCGAATCAAGTGTTCTGTGCTTACCTGATCTTGCTTCATCTTGCGTGACGAAGTGCGCAGATCAGCATTCTGCGCTAGTTCAAGTTTTTCAATTTCCTTCTTCTGATTCCTACTCGACGTGTCCAAATCTAACTCATACTTCTTATCCAAATCCTACAAAACAATAGTCACGTTAGCACTATTTGAGCTTCAAGACTACACTATGCTACTGACAAAATTAAACAAGCGCGACGAGTACTGTCACCCACATCAGGCCCATCTGCCAACTTCTTGGCAACTAAATAACTGGTGAGATCATGTTGGCTGCACAAGCGTGTCTGACCAAATAGACCGCGTCCTAAGACAGATTTGTTGAGCTCAGTGTCTTCACTGTCACAGTACGAAGGGACAACATATATCTCACAACATAGTAGAGGACGTAGTGCTCGGTGTTCAAAGTCTGCCTGAACGTGTGTATATAACAAGGTGAATCATTCAACGAACGTTACTTCACGATCTTTCAGAACATACCTGCAGCTCCTGTTCAAATCGTTGCTCCTGAGCGTCCCACTGCCGACGAATTTTGGCCATGAGCAGCATGCCTTGTTTCTGTTCCTCGCGCTGGAGAATCTTCATCTCGCGCAAATTGACTTTTCTAGAGAAGAGATAACACGATTTACTTCTCATTAACAAAATAAGGTAAGTATCAAAGGCCAGGAAGTGGAGTCCTCTACGCTAACGTCTAAAATTAGAAAACAGCCCTAAGAAAATACGCGCGCTCATTGGTTAAAAATCGTGTTTCTATAACTCGATGGAAACAAAGTGAACAAGCTGTTTTTCTTTTTTTCGTCGCGGTGTTTTCTAAAAGAAATAGAAAACATGTTCTCCGTGTTTCTATCGAGTTATAGAAACACTCGTGAAAGTTTGGGAGAACTCGAAAAAGCTGTGGAAACACTCGCCTGCGGCTCGTGTTCCCACAGCATTTCTCGTTCTCTCAAACCTCCACTCGTGTTTCTATAACTCGATAGAAACACGGTACATGTTCTCTATTTCTTAAATAAAGTTATTTAGACAGTTATCAAAAACAAGGAAGTGCAGTCGGTCCTCTGCGCTAACATCTGAGTACGTGACTTAGACACTTATCAAAACAAGGAAGTACAATCCTTCATGTTAAAATTAGTGTCTAACTAAGACGGAAGTCTTTTAGGCCAACATCTACTGAAAATACGTGACTTAAGCACTTATCAAAACAAGGAAGTCAAGTCCTTCAGGCTAAAGATTCGTGTCTAACTAAGACCGAAGTGATGTGGGATAGCTGTCTGAACTTACCTCTGTTGCTGTTCTTTCATTTGAGCATTTCTGTAATCCTCCTGGCTCACGTCCACCACTCGTGATGTCGTCTCCGTCACTATCTTGCCATCCTTTTCAAACTTACGAATCCTTTTCAGTGTTTTGAAATTTTTCTCCTCTGGGCCCTGTCGAGAGAGAAACCAGACAGACTGTAAGAGAAAAAGTAGTGTCTTTCAATAAGCCGTCCGATTCATGAATGTCTGATTTCTGTAGCCGCCTTGAAGCCTTTCGGTCTATCAATATTCTCCCTGAGGTTGCCTTAAATATCTGTTAAGATGTCACATTTACCGGTAACCAATAATGGCTCAGCTGACAAAGAAGCTGAAGAACACTACACAAGGGCAACAGCCAGAGAAAAAAGTCACGACCGCTGCATTAGGCCTAACGCATCAATCAATTGACCAACTCCCCCAATTTGTTTCGTTTAAAAGACAGATGTCAAAGTCCCATATACTTGAGGTTATCCAAAATGTCAGTGATCCTGAACTTTGGAATATAAAAAAGCGTTCAGCTGAACCTGTGAGAAGAGATAACGCAAGCTTAAGGGCAAAGCTTTGGTAGGAAGGGATTTACCCATCTCACTTAAGACTGACAAAGGATCAATTTTATGCAATAACAGTGGAACCGAAAAGCGAGGAAAGATCTACTAACATCAGTAGCTTCTTGTTTCTCTTCTGTGCCGCTGGATGGCTTTTTCTCCTTGCCAACTGCCTCTATCAACACATCACCGTTAGGTATTGCAGCCTTCTCGTTAACATCCAACTCCTCCTTATCTTCAGTTTTGTTTTCCTCCTCTGTTACGCCGTCAGTTCCTTCGATCTCGTCTTCTGTTTCTTTAGCCTCATCTTCTGTGGCTTTTTCTTCAGTTTCACCGGATTCTTCTCCTTCTTTCTTTTCTACGTCCTCTTGAACAGCAGTGGTTTTCTCCTCCTCGTGTTTTCCATCGTCCTCCCGTTTGTCTTGAGAAACCAGCGCTTCTTCCCCTTCAGCTGCCGGATGTGCTTGTTCGTCTTCTTCTAGGCTGTCTAAGATGTTGTCTAAACGTGCCGAATATTTATCTCTCTCTTGCTGAGTTTGTTTTTCTTTTCCTTCGGCCGAAACATCGTTCTCCTTAACAGCTGCCTCAGATACTCCTTCCTCTGGTTCTGGCTCTGTTCTCGTCTCCTCGCTCACGTCCTTCCTCTTATCATCCATTTCTTCAACCTTCTGCTCAGTTTCTATCCTATTTTCTTCGGCTTCCTTCGTCTTATCTTCAGTCACTTCCTTCTCAATATCTTCTACCTCTCTCTGCTTATTACTTTCCTCGGGTTTCTCTTCAGCTTTGCCGACGCTGATGAAAAATTTCTGTCTTTTCTCTTCTTTCTTCTTTTCTTTTTCTTCTCTTTCTTCTGTCTTTTCTTCAACTTTGTCTTTCTTCTCTTCGGCTTCATCTATTATTGTCTCTTGGGCTTCATCGTTCTTTTCCTCCACTTCCTCTTTTTCTTCTTCAGCCCCATCTCTCTTCCCCTCAGCTTCCTCTTCCCTCTCTTGGACTTCCTCTTTTTCCTCTCCTGGCTTCTCCTTTTCCTCTTCTACATCCTCTGCCTTTTGTTGAACTTCGTCCTCCTTCGCTTCCTCTGAAACTTCTTCCTTCTCTACAGGTTCACCTTCCTTAGTTATTACTTCCACCTGTTTTTCCTGGTCGGTTTTTTCCTTTGCACCCCCTACTTCTTCTTCCTCTTCTTCTTTCTCCTTTTCCTCTGCTTCATCCTTACTCTCCTCTACATAATCCTTGATCTCCTCGTCACCTTCCTTTGTTTCTTCTTCTATTTCAATCTCTGTAGATTCTTCAAGCTCTTTCTCTCGCTCTTCTCCTTCTTTTTCAAAATCCTTGGAGCCTGTTTCACTACTCAGTTCCTCACTCTCGTTCAAAGACTCGGTGGACTCTGCAGCCTTTAGCTCGTCTTTACCTTTCTTCTGAAAAGACGAAAATAATACAAAAAACAAATTACAGTTTAGTAGAAAGTTCCTTAGTTATTTTAATGGTGGCAAGGTGAAACATGTTATGTCATGTGGTATTTTAACACCAAAAAAGCAACATATTTTGGCGTAAGGCAACTCGCTATTGACTGCAAGCCTTATATGGCTCGTTGATAAAAGTACTTTTACTAAAACTTGTCTCAAATAACATCTTTTAACATTAAGCTACTTGAAATGTTTATTCAAATGATAATCGGATTGCTATTCAGCAGGCAAAGCTCATTTTCTTCACAATGGGGCATCATGAATAACAGATCTGCTGACGCCTCATGAATTTATGTGGTTCATAACTGACAGTGCTTTATCTCCAGTTTAATTAAGTGACGTTTCTGTAGCTTATGGTTTCTCCCCTGTAGAGGATGCTAGTCCATCACAGGTAAACCACACTACTTTGTCAGGCATCCGTACAATTTGCTAGACTGAGTCCCAGTTCTACATAATTCTGAATGGAGGGAGGGACTATGAGGATATCCTGTCTAAGAACACGGCAAAATGACGCCAGCACTGCCTTCAACCTGGATCTGCTGATCTGGAGTTCAACGTACTAATCATCAGGGTCACTCCCTCTCTCCTCTTGCTCTACAAACCTTTTAAGGTTTATCCAAAAAGGTTCAATGTGGTAATGCGGCATCTACTCTCCAGTTTGTAAGACAGGCCTTTGTTCAACAATGCATTAGAGCTAAAACAAACAAACAAACGGCACCTCTTTATCTTCAGGAAGATCTTCAAATTCCTCAATCACAACAGCCTTGGCTTCATTGTAAAGTTCCTTCAGGGGTTTATTGTCAACAACGTCAGCAATAAAAGGATGCTGATAAAAAAAAGAAAAGAGAAAAGAGCTTGTGAGTTACATTACATGAACACTGCCATGAAGTGCCACTCATTTGACGCATTCCAGAAATGTGCACGGTACATTTGAAGCAGACAACATAAAATACAGAACTCAATTGCTTGTCCTTATTTTCCAATCAAAACACAATTATTGTTATTGTCTTGTCTATCTTAAGGTGGCTCCATAGGGTAATCATTTATGGTGTTGCGTGTGCAAGTGTTACGTCTTGAATGCTGTTTTTGCATTTGTTTTTACACCCAGTCCTCTCAAATGTATTACATGTGATAAGCAATGATTAAACAGTGTTTTACTATCATCTCTGTTTAAAGTTTGGATTTAAGTGTTGAATTATAAATGCCCAAACAAATGTGCTTTTTACTTTTTTATGGCCTTATTTGTGATTTTCTTGAAATTCCTTCCGTGAATTTCCTTCACAGCACATCGCATCCTGGGGGTTACAAATTTTAAACGTGAAAAAAGCAGGGTTTGAGAAGGCAGTTTCATAGATTTTTTGATTTAACACTGCGAAAAATACTGGTCTTATAGATTTCCCTGAAAAATGAGGTCCAACTAAAGTAAAACATTCACTACCAGTCTACCAAATTTTACAGAATTTCACTGAAGGAAGAAAATTCACTGCCCGTTTTGCTTTTTGTGCTCATGTTGACATCATAAAATATCGAAAAACACTGACGTTTTCCTTTGAGTACGGGCAGATTACTTGAGCTTTCATCATCAGTGCATGTGCGATCTTAAAACTAAAGGGAGCCACCTTAAGGTGTTGTGTGTGTACAAGTTTTTTATTCCTTGTAAAGTCCCTTGCTCATTTTTGCATCATTATACTGTAACTAGTTAGTAACAGCATAATTTGAAACAATATCAACAATACCACATTACCATCTAAACATGCATCATCTACTCACTGTAATTAAATCAGCTGCGGAGGATCGCATTTCTGGAGACTTCACCACACAAAGAGAAAGAAAATCATGAAAGTCCTTGGACCTGGAAATATTAATCAAAGAATGGGAAACACTGACAGCAAACATAACACAATAAAAACGCTCTGATATAACAAATATTTGTTCAGTTAACACCATAGAAACATATGATCAACTTTGTTCTTTACAATGATATTGTGTTACAACGATAGTAAAAGATATCATTTATCTCACATTTATCTCTGTGGGCTTGAGATGTAGATTGCGATCTTTTGTTGTCCCAGAAAAGATCTATTCACCCTTTAAAGAAACTTGATTTTCGGATTGAACGTTTCCACCTCTCTGAAAATCTCAGCTCAACTTCCTACCTTGCTCAAAAACTCCCTTTAAGAATTTCCAATGACCTACCCAAGGGTGGATATAGATACTTCTTGGGATACACATTGAGAATTTACAGGGAAGTTAGAGAGACTCCACCAACAAACTTACCATCTGTTTCTAAATTGCAGCATAGGAGGGTCAGCTTTAGGTATTTTGAACAGCACTCTCATGGGGTGCATGTCATGGTAAGGGGGCTGCATCTCTGCCAGTTCTATGAGTGTAATGCCAGCAGACCAGATATCAGCCTGACAAAAAAAAAAGTAAAGGAAACTTAAGCAATTTTAGTGATTACAAAAGGCAAAAGCTTGTGGGACACTACATGATTTCGTATGTTAGTTTCAGTGAATTTGATTCTTGGAAAAATCACACGTAAATTTTATTACAGCCTGCAGAGGACAAACATAGCAATGCTTCAGGAGATTAACACTCTACAACTCCCCATTTTAAAAAGTCCTGCAATAAAATCACCAAACCTGATTCAATGAACGAGTCAACAGTTCACCATTTAAATTACTGACAGAGGTGGATACACTTAGCCTATTTCTGTGGAATTGCTGTTGAATGTAACTGTCCATATCTCACGTCTCATATCACAAATATTGAAGATTTTTATTGCTCATCCCAGTGATCTTGCACAATATCATAATCATACAGATTGGTGCACCTGGTCTGTGCAATAAAGTGTCCTAGCTAGACCTGTTGAGACCAACTTCCTTTTTTGCACCTAGGCCAGAAAAGACCAGGTTTTCCCAGCTTAGGGCAGTAAAAAGACAACACTGTCAGAAAGTTTGTTTATAAAGCATATCTATTATTTTTAACATTACCTTGTAATCGTACGGATCATCCTTGCAGGTCTCTGTCACAATAACCTCTGGAGCCATCCTAAAGAACAACAAATCTATTTTGGAAATCAAGAGTCCGAGGTCTTGAAACAAAGCAGGGAATCTCTAAAGAAATGTTACCCTGAAGATTTACCACAAATGCATAACATAATATTACAATGATTCCAGCAGCTAATTATGAGCTCCTGATAAAACTCACCAGTAAGGTGTTCCAATGAAAGTTGTTCTTCTTTGTATTGTTTTCTTGTTCTTAGCAGAAACACCAAAGTCAGCTGAAAAATAAAGTGAACTGTATCAAAAACAAATTCCTTGCTACCATGATCATCTTTTAACCAACTGGAGATTTACAATATAAATATTAAGTTCAAGTTGTAAGTGTGCCTTTTTGCAAATTCTTAGAAATCTCTGTTGAGAAAATAAAAACTGCTGTTGTTTGACAAGAGAGGGAACTTGTATCTGTTTTCCTTCTCAAACATTAGGGATACTCAGCAGCACTTTGATGATTATTTTAAGTTGATACTCTACCAAGTTTAATGTTCCCATCATTTGTGAGGAGCAAGTTTCCAGCCTTTAAATCTCTGTGGATCACCTTGTGAGTATGAAGAAAATGGAGGCACTAAAATCAAGAAAAAAAAATCATTTAATATACAGTAACCCATCTGATTCCAGCAATATCAGTGTAAAATGTGGGCTTTGTAAAAATAATTCACTAAAATTAATACTGCAATTCAATAAAGTAACAACAGCTACAATGTAGTGTAGCAAATCACAAACAAAAGTACCTCAAACATTTGTTTACAAACTATCTTGATCTGCTCTTCAGTAAGACCTCGTTCAAGTTCTATATAATCACAAAATAAAAGAAATTAGTCCTGTATGTAACATGTACTGCTAAACCCCTCATAAACTAGACAGTCCAATGCTATTTGTGGGTCTGATCTATTATTGACATGCACTCATCATCATCATCATCATCATCATCATCATCATCATCATCATCATCACCAACTAACTAATGAATGACTGTGGCTTATCAGGAGTAAGGTTCTAAGTAAATCCTTATCCCCTAGGGTTAAAGTGGTCCACAATGCCAGATCTTATCCTAGTTTTGCGGAATGCTATTGTTTTGGTGACAGGAATTTTTTTCCAGCTTTATGCACGTTTGCGGCAAACAAGCACCTGATGTTTCCTTATTCTGTAGTGTATAGCAAATGGCAAATTATACTTTTTAAGAAGTACCGTGCACCTTTCTTAACTTGACTAAAACCCCTGTTGAGGTTTCAAATATTATACACAAGAGTGTGATCAGAAGGCACTCGACACAAAGACAAAAATGTTCCCAGAGATTCAAAGACTTTTTGGTGATTTTCTTGACATTTTCACTACTGTCCTCACTGTCCTCACTGGAAATATTGTCTCAGCTTACTACAGTACAAAGTAGAACTTTACCAAAAGCAAGCTTACCTAATATTAAGTCATCTAAGGCTCCACCAGAACAAAATTCCAACATCATCTAAAAAGGAAAATTTAATCAGTCTTTCCATAATCGTTGTCAATTCCATTACATCACAAACCTTGTCAATGGATAACCACACACTGCCAATGTGGAAAACAGTAAGCAATGTATGATTCATGAACTGTTATATTATGGATGTCTGGAATTACTGTTACTGTAGTTTCTCAGTGTCTCAAGTCCTTTTGGAACTTAGGACTAAACAGTGTTGGACCAGCTCACTACACAAAGGGTAAAGTGGTAAGCCAAGCCAAAGTTTACCTCTGTTTCTGTAGTTTGAAGCATGAAGTGGCTAGCAATACATGGCAACACCTCCTGGATGGAGGTCATTACACCTGTACTGTGCCATGTTGTGATACAATATGCAGCACCTATTTGCCGCACTTAATGATAGTGAGGTTTTAGGAGATGGTCAGCTTTATTTCTTTTCCACAAATGCAAGACTTCTGTAGCCCCACAAAAGAAATCAAGACTCCAAAACAATGTTGCAAAAAATATGGTGAGACTAGTGATATTTGACTAAATTTCTCAATATATGTATTTTTTAAGGACCATTTGCCACCTTTCGTATCTACACTGTTGGGTGAGGAAAAATGCTGTGATAGTAAGGGGATCAGGCCAGGCCAACACAACCCTCATAAATTTGGAAATCTCAATGTTAGAAAGCATGCACTAAAAGCCATACAGTCAAACTTTCTTTAACCTGGGGACACCCTAGGGGCCAGAAAAAGTGTCTGCTTAAGAGGTGTCCACTTATGGGAAGTTACTATTAAGGGGATTAAGGAAGATGTTGGTAAGCAGGGGTACAACTGTACTTCTACAATCTAAAACTTGATAGTAACACAGAACTGAATAGCACTGATTGCTTTACTTAATAATGGGGTGGGTGAAGAGAATTTACATTTTGATAATCACTAATAGACTGAGTGATTTTCCATTCTTTTTCACACAATGGTTGTGGTTTCTCACAGAGGTTAGGGAGAGCATGAAAAAGCTTTGGAAACACTGATCCATGGCTCATGATCCTACAGTATTTCCTGTTCTGCCAAACTTCCCCTAGCATTGTTATAACTGAACAAAAAAACACAGAAAATGTTTCCTATTCTCAATAACAAACATTTTGATAGCAAGCTATAAGATGTGGTGCTACACTGTTCATAAAAAGCATGCAATATGATATATTGAGGTCTGAAGGCTACTGTTAATCACAGTACATGTATCTTGAACACTTACCCATAATTTATTTTCATGGTAGTAAGCTTCATACATTCCCACAACATGTTTGTGTTTGCACTCACTCAGAATGTCTATTTCTACCATAAAATCATCCAGCTCACTTTCATCCTTAACATCAATGATTTTAGCAGCTGCCAGAACACCATCTGTCTTGCGTTCCGCCTAAGAATATTCCATGCAAAACAGTTCAGATTAGTGCCTGTATTGCAAATAGATTATTAAACACCAGCCATCTGATCATTGCTGATATAGAATTTTCTAATGTGCCAGTCTCATGGGCACATCAATAAACATGCCCAGTCCCAAAAGTCTTTCAAGAGTGCTTTGCATCAGTTTGGACTAATGAATAAGAATTCAAAACTTTTTGCCCCCTCCTACAATGATCTCTCAAAAACATCAGTTGATTCCATATTTCTACTTCTCCTTGGGTGGGTTGCTGGTCTATTATAAGGTTACTCAGCATTTTACTTGCTAGCCATCAACATTTTACACAACTGGGTAAAGGGAGGGACTGAGAGTCAGAGTTAAGTCTCTTGCTCAATCCAGAGTCCAAATCACAAACTGTTAGGCCAGCATGCCTACCATATCAAGGTAATGAAGCACTACATTCAATTTTTAAACCATGCATTATTTTGAGAAAGCCATAATATATAGACTTAGTCAAGCCTAAATATGGAGCTCCTGATTGCAATGAGCTAACCTGGCTTGAACCAGTGATCTAATTGAAAGCCAGTGCCTGGGCAGTGGTCAACTTCAAAAAAAACATGTGATCTTGATGTGCTTTAAACCTGAGCTTGCGATATGATCACGCAATAATGGTCAGCAGATACCTTGTTTTGACAGGTGTCAATTGACCATAACATGGACGCCCAATATCAAAGATGTATGTTGTAAACCAGGGCTTCATTTGCGACTGATGAAGGGGTTTTTCCCGAAACGTCTCAAAAAATACCATTTAGCACTTTTTGTTAACTTAAATGAAAGTAATATAACTTAAACTGAAGTAATTTAATTCAAAGTGCTACACAGCGACAACTTGTTTTTATTTCTAAATGTAAACCAGGGCTGCATACCTCAGTCGACCTATCAGCTGGAGAATGACCCCTATGTTGCCTGACAACATTGTCGCTGTAGGACACACATACTCATGATACATGCTGCTAACAATATTGACGATGAAAAAGGTATTGCATGGATTGGTTTTCTATTTCTATGCATGCATGTGGTTCTAGATCCATTCCTATAGTTATGGTGCTATGTAATTAATATACTTTTTGCACAAAAAAACGCAACAAATTTGGCAGTAAGTCTAGCAATTTACATATTTCCATTTTCTAACAACAGTGTTTGCTCCAGGCACTTCAATTTAAAATTTGATCATGAATTGGGTAACATCTGTTGCTTATTTTGACTTCCTTATCTTTGCAAACAAAAATAAATTTATTTTTTCCTTTTAAATTCCAATTCTGTAATACAATAATGCTTTGCTTGGTAGAACGAAAATGATTTAAAAAATCAGGTTGTCATGAATGTTTACTGCTCTGATTTCGTTCATTCAGCTCAAGGAAACAAGTTACATGTATGACCAGAAAACTGCACTTAACATAAGCAGAGCAAATCCAATTGCAACAAAATCATACTCTTCCCTTCTGGAGGAAATAAACACCAACAAATGTGCTCTGCACAAAGATTTCGCTTTGTTTTGTTGTTTTTCTGTTTCTCGTTCAAGTATTCTACTTGAGCTGCTCTTCAAATAAACCCATAAATATCATTTTATGCATGAATATTAAATACAACCGTCGGTGGTCAATTTTTGTGATGTTACACTTCACTGAACTCACAGCTGAAAGCAATAATTACTTTTATTTGTGTTGTTAGTTTGTGTAAATAACCAACAACGTCTATTTCAAATCGAAACTAATCATCTGAATTCAAGAATGGAAAGTATTCTATACGAAATATATTGAATAGGAGTGGTGGCTCGGTATCTCTGCAAACTTGATTTGAACGAGGTCTGTAAACCCAATAACTGATCTGTATTACTAAAACTTGACCAACGTCCAGCAACTCAAAACACTAATTTAACATCGTGTATGTTTGAACAACTTTGCATAAAACATGATCAAAGACACACAAAATGTCTGATTTCACCGTGACAAATTTCTATCACTGTCAAGATACTAAACCTACAGGTATTAAGAATGAATATGAAATCCTTAAATATTTTGTACAAAAACTAGAACAAAAACTAACTTTAACTGGGAAAATCTACAAACGTTTTTTCGTCAAATGCTTCCCTACTCCACCGCTATCTGAGTTAACAACGGAAATATTTTAAAAACTCTCCAATGTATTGTACCGTAATATTGTATCCTTGAAGCTACAAGCTGTATCAAGCAAACTCAAACAGGATATTAAGCTTCAAGCTCACTTATAGCCGGCATCTCAAGCTCAGCAAGCTTTAAGATTAATAGTTAATATGCATTTTAATCTTACCTTATAAACCTTTCCAAAACTACCATCTCCTAATTCGCCAACAAGACTCCAAATAGTATTAGGGTCTACTCCACGAATAATGTAGGAAAACTCCTTCTTTTTCTTGACTTTCATGAAGGGGAATAGTTGTTTCAAGAACGAAGACATCTTGGATTCTCAGCATATGCAGCTACCACAAAGTTGTACAATTACAAGACTTGCATTGAACTTGACAGACTTTCACAGCTACGCACCTGAATAACCTTTCTTTAAGCGGTCTATGCTGGTTTAAGCCAAGCATAAATATTCAGCTAGTTCTCGTTCACAAACAGACGCTGATTTTCACATCAATTTCCCTCGTAAACTCTTTCCTCCTCCCGGCCATTCCACAATATGACGTCATATCCTGATGTCGCTCCCAGTCCCTGGTCACAGTCTCTCTCTGTCACGCATTGACGTGTATCTAAACATGACAAACATGGCAATGAGTTGTGGTTGAGTTGTGGTAGATTTCTTTAGGCTTCACAATGGAACTATTCATACTGAAATCGTCAACGTGACGTAAAATTTTACGAAGTTAAGATGTCCGCATTCTTCAAGGAATTCTTCGTTTCGTGACTAGGTTGGAAAATGGTCTAATTATACTTGTGATGCGTCAAAATGCCGCTCAATGAACGAATACTTAACATAAAAATATTAACGTTTATATGAAGGAAGGAGAAATATATAACATATAAATAAATATCAAAGCGTAGAAAAATATATCTTTGAACAGAACATCACGTTAAATTTTGGAAAATGTAATCCTTTATTTATAGTCGGATTAGAATTAACTTTCAGTTATTTAATACTCCCCACGAAAGAATTTTAGATTAGACTTCAAAGCCAATAAAAACATTATTTAACATACATTTAATCAGAAATATACAATACAGTTCAATGGTAAGGTCTGACAAGAATGGCACACGTTTTATATTAACGAAATTTCTTCTATGCAGGATGTGCGTGCAAAATTGTCTAGAGCTCATGACCGACTGACCCCCTCATTTTCCGGATTCACTAGTATTTAAAAGGCTTAATGAATTACAAAATTGCCAAATCGTTTATTTGATTGCCAAGGCAACGAGGCAAGCAGGTCGCGTGACTGCGTCAAACTCTAATTCCTTCCTGTGTCCAAGGGTTTTCTCTGTACATCCGGTTCAGCGGCGACGCATGAGTTCACGACCGTTTTTGTAAACAAAAGTACACCAAAATGACAACACGATTGATTCCCCTCCCTCCACCCCCCGTGGAGTACTCCCTTAAATGGGCTATATAGTATGTGCATGTGCATGAACGGGTATGTGCAGGGTTTTTAGCCGTTGTGGGTATGCTTTTTGGACTCTAGTTTTGAATTGGGTATGTTTTTGAAGGATCTTACACCTGGGTGACTTCCTTTGGTCGCAGAAAAGGCTGCATGGTTATCGCACTGTACGTTGTGTTATTGGCCCTTTGCAGCTGGGGTCACGTGACCAAATTTTTCCTAGAAAATTTTTATATTATGGGCTATAACTTGAAGAATGCCAGAAATGGAAAGAGCACATCGAAAAATACCAATATGAGGCCCTTGGCATTAAAAAGTAAGTTTATACAACAGTTTGAATTTTCGGAAAATTTATAGGATTTGTATGGAAAATGTAGCTGGAGAGCAAGGCCTTGCTCTCCAGCAACTTTTTCCATCCAAATCTTCTGATTCTTTTAAAAATTCAGACCGTCATAAAATCTCATTCTTTGATGATGGGGGCCTCAAACTTGGCCATTTTGATATTTTCGACATGCTTTTTCCATTTCTGGCATTCGTTAAGTTATAACCCATAATTTTATCAAAAATAGGTCACGTCATGGCTTAGCTGCAAAGGGCCTAATGCGAGTTTTATTCTCGCACAAGCTCACTACCTGACGTTTGGACAAAAGTGCTGAGCATATTTCCACCCTAAACTTTAGAGGTAGACAATGATACAGTTATATAGCTTTCACTGGATTCGTGATTTGATTTGAATTTTATAGATCCTACTGTTAATTCCTTATTATATATACACACGCTAGACAATTTACTATTGGTTTCAAATATTCCCTCGACTTCCTTTTTTCCTCTTGGTAGTAAAACGTGGAATTAGATACCTCGCTCAGAAGAATACCCCCAGTA